TGCCAACAATGCAGCTTCCCCCAATCCGGCATATCAGACATGGCTGAGACAAGACAAGCTTTTGTTTGGCGCGCTGGTGGGCACGATGTCACCCAACCTTGTTCCGCTCATTGCTCAGTCAAAAACATCTCATGATGCTTGGAAAGCCCTCGCCAACACCTATGCTCGTCCCTCTCGTGGACATATCAAACAAATCAAGGACAACCTGAAGAACATCTCCAAAGGATCACAATCTGTTACCGATTACATGCAAGCCATCAAGACCAAAGCTGATGAACTTGCCACCCTTGGAAAACCACTTGATCATGAAGACTTAATTGAGAAAGTCTTGGACGGCCTTGATGACACATTCCAATCTGTCATTGATGCAGTCAACAGCCGCGACACGGTCATCACCTTTGATGAACTCCATGAAAAACTCATCAACAAAGAGCTGTCCTTGCGCAATTCCTCACCAGGTTTTCCAGCCTCTGCCCACCTCACACACACACAACGCTCAAATCAGCGGTCACCGGGCAATCACCCACCATGGCCTGCTCGTCCTCCAACCTTGCAGTCCGCTCCCAGCCACTACAACCGACCAATGCGTCCATTTCTGGGCAAATGCCAGTGGTGCCGTGGTCAAGGTCATGTGGTCCCTCAGTGCACTCTCTTCCGCCAACAATTTCCTCATGCTTCACCACCATCACGCGCTGTCAGTTCACCGCCACTTCGTGCACCCCCTCCTTGGCAAGCTCAAGCTCATGTTGCTACCTCAAACTCCCCATCACATGATCCTTGGCTATTGGACAGTGGTGCTACGCATCACATTACAACTGACCTTCAAAACCTCTCCTTTCACAACCCCTATACTGGTCCAGATGAAATCATGATTGGAGATGGCTCTGGCATTCCTATCACACACACGGGTTCAACTTCTCTGCCTACTTCTTCTCACTCTTTCACTCTTTCTAATGTCCTTTGTGCTCCAACCATGAAACGTAATTTAATTTCCATTTCTCAGTTCTGCAAATCAAATAATGCCTCTATTGAATTCTTACCATCATCTTTCTTTGTGAAGGACCTTCAATCGAAAGCCATGCTCTTCCAAGGCCAAACTAAAAATGGTGTCTATGAGTGGCCCATCTCCTCGGCTTCATCACCATTGCTTGCTTTCTCCACAACAAAGACCACATACCCTGCCTGGCATCACCGACTTGGTCACCCATCACTACCGACACTCAAACACATGGTCTCATCATTCAATCTGGATGTCTCAAATTCTTCCTCTCTCAACTCTCATTGCAATTCTTGTCATTGTAATAAGAGTCACAAATTACCTTTCTCTGTGTCTACCTTGTTCACTTCTTCTCCACTTGAAATTGTCTTCACGGATGTTTGGACTTCACCTGTGTACTCCATTGACAACTTTAAATACTATATTCTCTTTGTTGATCATTTCACAAAATATATGTGGCTGTATCCGCTGAAACGCAAATCTGATGCTCGTAATGTTTTCATTTCCTTCAAGGCCTTGGTTGAAAAATTCTTCAACTGTGAAATCAAAACGCTTTACTCTGATAATGGTGGCGAATATCAGGCCCTCTCTTCCTTCCTAACAATCAATGGCATCTCTCATCTCACCTCTCCTCCTCATACTCCTGAACACAATGGCTATTCTGAACGTCGCCATCGTCATATTGTTGAAACTGGACTTTCTCTCCTTTCTCACGCATCTATGCCTCTGGCCTATTGGTCCTTTGCCTTTTCCACAGCCGTATATCTTATAAATCGTCTCTCGACACCTACTCTCAACAATGAGTCTCCATTCCTTAAACTTTTTGGCACTGTCCCTAACTACAATAAACTTCGAAGTTTTGGCTGCCTCTGCTATCCCTGGCTCCGTCCTTACACCTCTCACAAACTTGAACCCAAATCAACTCCTTGTCTCTTGGTTGGATATTCCTCTACTCAAAGTGCTTATCTCTGTCTTGATATATCCTCCAACCGATTGTACACCTCTCGTCATGTCCGTTTTGTTGAGTCTGTGTTTCCCTTTGCCAACTCTAATCTCACCCTCCCTCGGGTCACCTCCTCCACCACATCCGAATGGTGTTCTATGACTTTACCTGTCATTCCTTCTGTGTCCCCCTCCGTCCCAACAACCTCTCAACCCCAAGGACAACCTTTATCGTCGCAACCCGCATCCAGTTCTGGATTACCACCCATCTCCTCCCCTCCTACTCCAGCTGCAACTATATCCACAACCACCAACCCGACGCCCTCATCTCCTCAAGGCATAATTACTCGGTCCAAACACAACATTCACAAACCCATTCAAAAACTCAACCTCAATGCTGAACTCCACCATCCCACCCTTGTGCCCACCACCGTCAATCAAGCATTGAAAGATCCTCAATGGCGGCAAGCCATGTCCACAGAATTTGATGCTCTTCTTCGTAATGGCACGTGGGAACTTGTTCCATCTCATCCTACCCAAAATTTGGTAGGGTGTAAATGGATTTTTCGCATCAAGTACTTACCTGATGGCTCTGTTGACAGGTACAAAGCGCGTCTGGTGGCCAAAGGTTTTCATCAACGCCCAGGGGTTGATTTCACCGAGACCTTCAGTCCTGTCATCAAACCAACCACTGTGCGTCTGGTTCTTAGCCTTGCGATAAGTCAAGGCTGGTCACTTCGCCAACTGGATGTCAACAATGCCTTTCTTCAAGGCACACTTTCAGAAGTGGTGTTTATGTCTCAACCTCCAGGCTTCATTGACCGTGATCATCCTCACCATGTCTGCAGGCTTCGCAAGGCCATCTACGGCCTCAAACAGGCTCCACGCGCCTGGTATCATGAATTACGCCAATTTCTGCTCACTTCAGGCTTTCATAACTCCACGGCAGATACCTCTCTATTCATATTCAACACTCAAGGAGTTATTCTTTATCTTCTTGTTTACGTTGATGATATCATTATTACTGGAAACACAGCTCAAGCTGTACATCAGTTTCTTCAGCAACTCTCTATGCGCTTCTCCTTAAAGGATCTTAGGGACTTACACTACTTCCTGGGTGTTGAAACGCTTCCCCATGACGATGGTCTGTTTCTTAGTCAACGAAGGTATATTGTTGATCTTCTTCAAAAAACTCGGATGACTGAGGCAAAACCAGCCACTACACCTCTAGCAACAAGTCCGCCTCTTACCTTGCATGCTGGTACTCCCTTATCTAATCCTACAGAGTATCGCACCATTGTTGGAAGTCTTCAGTACCTCTCCTTGACCCGTCCAGACATCACTTACACCGTCAATAAACTTTCTCAATTCATGCATCAACCAACGAATGAACATTGGACGGCTGTCAAACGCTTACTTCGCTATCTCTGTGGCACGTTAGATCATGGCATAACACTTCGTCGTAAGTCATCTCTTACTCTTCATGCTTTCTCCGATGCTGACTGGGCCGGCAACAAGGATGATTTTACTTCCACCAGTGCTTACATTGTTTATCTCGGCCATAATCCTGTATCTTGGAGCTCCAAGAAACAAAGAACTGTTGCCCGCTCTTCAACCGAAGCTGAGTATCGATCAGTTGCTGCCACGGCCGCTGAACTCCGATGGATTTGTTCTCTCCTCACTGAACTTGGCATTTCTATTCCCCATCAACCGGTGATTTATTGTGACAATGTTGGAGCCACAAACCTCTGTGCCAATCCAGTTTTTCACTCGCGTATGAAGCATGTTGCCTTAGACTATCATTTCATTCGTGAACAAGTACAAAACGGTCTCCTCAGAGTCTCTTATGTCTCAGCTTCTGATCAGCTTGCCGATGTCCTCACCAAGCCCCTGTCTCGCCAACAATTCACCATGGTTTTGAACAAGATTGGACTCACTCCACCACCGTCCATCTTGCGGGGGGATGAAAAGATAACATAACCGATGCTCTGTCTCCTAGATTTCTGGTAGTTAGTTCTGCTTAGAATTAGTCTCCGATAGGTATATCTGTTGTAACAGAACACATCCTCTAGGCTGTATTTTGTGTTTAAATACTAAGGCAATCGCTAGGAAAGGTAGGGGAAAACATTATATGCAAGCCTCTCTTCTTCCTCACCTCTCTTCTACAGCCATTGCCTCATGTGCTTCCGTTTCCCTTTTGTTGGGTTCTCATGGGGTTGCGAGAACAAAATTTACAAAAACTCAACTGTCTGCTCTTTCTCTACTTTTTTTTTTCTTTTTTCCACAAACATTAGATGTCATTTTATAGATTAACTTGATCCTACAAGGGCTTAATTACAAAAGGTGACCTCAGCCCTCCAATCTTTGTTGGCTGCTTCTATTAGCCAAGTTGGGAAGTTGTTTTCCCAGTCAATGTCATTAACTGCTTCTATTGCCTGCTCTTTCTCTACTAGGTTATTGATTTTGCTTCTGTTTTTTTTTTTTGGAAAGAACTACTGATTTTCTTAATGGGTTTTTGTGCTTAGGAAAAAAAAGGTTTGATTCTTTTGCTGAAATTTGTTTTTGCAAAACGGATATCTTAGTGTGATTGAATTCTTGATGTTTGCTAAAGTATTGTGGATTTTGAAAATAAGTTCCGAATTTTATTTATGTTTGGATGTGCAAGGAGCAAGGACCAAAGCAAAGAAAAAGGAAAAATGAATAAACATATTGTATGAGAGATTGGGAGGACAAAAAATTGTAAGCTTTAGGCTTCTTCATCTGCTTCAAAGAAGGTACTGTTTGCAACTACATTGATGCCTATGTGTCCGTCTAAAACTATTAATTTTTACCATGTTTCTTGAGTTGATGTACTTGTATGTTCTCTTTTTATTTTAACGATTTTCGATTTCTTATTGAGAAAACATGAGACCGTGGCGGAGCTATTGCATCATAATATGAAGGAATTTACAGATTTTCTGACATTTTAGGATTACAATCTGGTATAAAATAATTTTCCCAAAGATTATATAAAATCCATATAATGCTGAAATTTACTCCTTGGATTTGCTAATCCAACAGCATGGAATTATCCTCAAGCAATATGAAATATATTTGCATGCTGAAAGGCGAATTGCAAATGATCCTCAATCTTAGGTACATTTATCCTTAATTGCATTAATATACCCTTCTTATTGCGTAGTCATAAAGATATTAACATCCCTCAAATCATTTGGAATGAGAATGTTCAAAAACCCAATTATTATTTGACTTGCATGCTTGTATGATCAAATATTATATGACTTTTATGTTTGAATTGTGCAGGGAGATTGGACCCCGAATAAACAAGCCTGTAGCTTTACTGCTCTCAATGTACTGTCTTCAAGCTTGTAGCTTTACTCTTTATCTTTGGATTTCATTTTTACTAGTTACTATTATGGAAATTGATTTCACATAACAATGTGACAGTGATCTAAGGGGAAATCGTCTTTCTAGACAAATCCCAGACGAGATTGGTGATTGTTCTGCTTTGACAAGCTTGTAAGCTCCTGATTAGACTTAACATTTATTTAATGTAGCTACATTAGTACATTTGCTAGGGCATGTAGAACCTATGCAGCCATTTCTACTTGATTAAGTCTTTTTAGATGTCCTTCAAATTGTGCTCAGTTTTTTTTTTTTTTTGGGTTAAACCTTTACTGGATACGTGTGACCAGGGATTTTTCCTTCAACGAGCTGTATGGGGATATTCCCTTTTCAATCTCCAAGCTGAAACAACTAGAATTCTTGTAAGTTTGTTTGGCAGTTGTAGACTATTTACGAAAATTGTGTCAACATACTTTCTTGCGCAACTTTTCTTTGCTATAATCTGGCTTGGTGTCTGAAACCAGTTATTATTTGTGTGGGTGCCAGGATCTTGAAAAATAATCAGTTGATTGGTCCAATTCCTTCTACACTATCTCAGATTCCTAACTTGAAAGTTCTTTTTTTTTTTTTTGACGAAACGATAAGATTTTCCATTGACTAAAAGGAGTAAACAGGTGCGAGCAAAGGCTCGAGAAACTTTACAATTAGTGCTCAAAAGCACTGAGGAAAGAAACGTTCCTCATCCAACATAATGCCTAAGGCATATGAACTTAACCTTTTACATCTTAATAAACTTCCTTCACTAGCCAGCTCAAAAGAGCACATGCGAAACATATTCTGTAAAGCGCTAATGTCATCAACCAGAGTTGTTAAGCAGCTGTCAGGTGAGCTCGGATTCTTAAGTTGTCTCAGTAACGCTTTGTTGTGGGATAAAATTTTGATTTTGTCCCAACGTTGATCCAAAGCTTTACACAAGACCAGTTTAATTGCTACTGCAGCGTCCAGGAGCTTAGTTCCAAGTGTTCTCTCCTTCAAAGCCCATTCTGCAATCCTTGTTTGCGAAAATGTCTTTGCTATGACTCCAATTCCCACTGACATTTGCCTTTGCTGACTTGTCGGGAACACCTCAAGGACTATGGACTCCTCATCCGTCTCCTGATGCTGCTCTGTCTGGTTAGAAGCTGTTTCTTTTGTGCTCCTTCTATCCTTGGTTTGCCTTAGCTCCTCTTGTTCCAACCATTCCTGCTGAGCCTTGTTCATTACTCTCACTGGTGGCCTTCTGATTGTACCTTCGAAAGCCTGTTTGTTTCTTTCTTTCCATACTTGCCATAAAATGTTAGCAGTTAGGCCAATATGTTGAGCTCCCTCTGGTCTTGATTTCGCCTCTGATATCTTGCACCACCATCTCTTGAAATCTCCTTTTTGATCACTAACTCCATCCCATTGAACTGGGGCCACCTTCCATATATCCAAAGTACTTGGACAGCTCAATAGGAGGTGTTCCACTGTCTCCTGACTCTCCCCACAGGCTCTGCAAACTGGATCCCCCATTCCTGTTCTTCTAAAGATGGCTTCTTTCACTGGCAATGCTCCTGTAATGCATTTCCAGATAAATAGCTTAATCTTATGTTTTATGTTTAACTTCCAAAGGGTGTCCCACATCTGCTTCAGTTGTTGACTTCCTTCCCTTATGCTTGGCCCAGCTGTTTCTGTATTTACCTTCACAGCACTGTCCCTCTCCTTCATGAGATAGTTGTATCCTGACTTGACCGAATAACAACCTCCCCCATTATGTTGCCAGAAGTAGCTATCCTCCCTGCCTACTAGGCTTATCGGAATACTCAAGATCCTCTCTGCATCAAATTGGTTAAACATACTAAAAATGGTGTTTCTATTCCAGCACTTAAGGCTAATAAGCTCCTGCACCTTCCTCAGAGAATTGTTACCCTGTCGTGGGGTAGTAGGCTTGCCAGTAGGTGTTCCTGGGATCCATTTATGTTCCCAGATGTTTGTGCTCCTTCCGTTCCCAATCCTCCTGATGACACCTTTTTCTATAAAGTTTCTGGCTCCTAGAAGCCCCTGCCAAAACCAAGAAGCATTTTTCTGAGCTTTGCATCTGAAAATGGACTCTTTGGGGAAATACTTTGCTCTGAGAACTTTGCTAAGTAGGAGGTTAGGTTTGGTTAAAATCCTCCAAATCTGTTTCCCCAACAAAGCTTTGTTAAAAGCCTCTATATCCTTGAAACCCAAACCCCCCTCAGTTTTATCCAAAGCCAATTTTTTCCAAGACAGCCAGTGTAACTTGCTTTTTCCATTCGTTTCCCCCCACCAGTAGTTGGCCATTGATGCGGTGATGTCTTTGCAAAGCTTCCTTGGCAGTTTAAAACAAGACATGGCATATGTCGGCATTGCCATAGAGACAGCCTTCAACATGACCTCCCTGCCCGCACTACTTAGCAGTTTGTTCTTCCAACACTGGAGCTTCTTTCGAATGTTTTCTCTGATGAAGCCAAAAACTTGATTTTTTGTCCTTGTTATCACCATTGGAAGACCAAGATACTTCCCTTGTGCCATTTCCCCCATTCCACCCAGAGCACAGCATACTTCCCTCCTTTGCTCCTGCGGGATGTTCTTGCTGAAGAAAACAGCAGACTTATCAAGATTAATCAGCTGACCTGAAGCCTCTTCATATGTCTTGAGAATTTTCATAATCTCCGTGGCCTGTTGGGTGCTGGCCTTACAAAATATGAGTGAGTCATCCGCAAAAAAGAGATGCGTAATAATAGGCCCTTGCCTGCTGATTTTCAACCCTGTTAGCTCATTTCTTCCTTCTGCTCTTCTGAGCAGGCTTGAAAAACCTCCAGAGCAGATTAGGAAGAGGTAGGGAGATAAGGGATCTCCCTGCCTCAATCCTCTCCCTGGTGAGACGTACCCTTTGGTTTCCCCATTGCAGTTGAAAGAGTAAGTAACAGAATGCATGCACGCCGTAATCCAGTTGATCCATTGAAAGCAGAATCCCATCTTCTGCATGACTGCCTGCAAAAAATGCCACTCTACCCTGTCGTAGGCTTTAGCCATGTCCAACTTGATAGCCATGTATCCATCCAACCCTTGCCTTTTATTTTTAAGATAGTGCATATACTCATGAGCTATAATCACATTGTCCAGAATCTGCCTATCTGGAATGAAAGCTGATTGTGTGTTACTAATGCAGATATCTAGGACAGATTTTAGCCTGTTAGCCAGAATTTTAGAGATTATCTTATAGATCACACTGCACAGGCTAATAGGCCTAAAGTCTTTCAAGCAAGTAGGATGCAACCTTTTAGGGATAAGGGAGATGACAGTATGGTTAATCGATTTAAGCATATGACCAGTAAGGAAAAAAGAACTAGTGAAAAACAGAACTAATGGAAGCCACTCCCCCCACACCTAAGACCTACATTGTCCTCAATGTAGAAGAGACAAAATAAAGTAATAGGAGGAAAGAAGAGAAACTTTCCTGGCTCCGGGGGGGGGAAAATGAGATACTAAGGCGGAGGGGAGTGAGGCGGCTGCGTGCACAAGGTGGTGTGGTGGCGGCGGACGCAACACCAACAGGAAGGAGAAGACTGAAGTTTCTTTTTCGAAAGGGTTGGAAGGCGTGGGCACGCCTTAGAAGTTATAGTCGTCTGACCGTCAATTCCAAAACTCCATTCCTTAGGTGTGATGACCTAGCATGGGCATGTCTAGCTGCCAACTCCTGTCACAAAATAACAACCCACTAAATGACACTAACACTTAACAAAAACTTCAAAAATATAAGAAAATTAAAACAAAAGAAGCCTTGGGTTGCCTCCCAAGTAGCGCCTTTCTTTAATGTCTTTGGCTTGACACAACACCACTCTTTAGTCTGGATGTAATTGAATTTTCCTTGTAATTGGTGGCCCTCCTCCAGGATCCACATGGCCATTGAGTGCAACTTTTTTCCTAAATTTTCTCTCCATTTTCACCTCATGAATTGCTTTCATCCTATAGGACTTGTTCGCAGCAACCTTGGATTTACCCCTATAAGCAAATTTAGAAAATTCTTGCACAGAGGGATTAGTGGTATACATAGCAAACACAGAATGAGAGTTAACAGGATGTTTCATTGTATCAAAAATATTAAAGTGGACTATTTTTCCATCAAATTCCATCGTGAGAGTACCCTTACTAACGTCAATTTTAGTCTGGGCAGTACTCAAAAATGGTCTTCCTAATATAATGGGTGATGGATTTGGGGCACTTCTATCATCCATGTAAAGCACATAAAAATCAGCAGAAAAAATTAATCCATCTACTTGCACTAAAACATCCTCAACTATCCCATCCGGATAAGCACATGTACGATCAGCCAATTGAATTATTATCCCCGTTTCTTTTAAAGGTCCTAAATTTAGGGAATCATAGATTGATTTAGGCATCACATTAATAGAAGCTCCTAAATCTATCATGGCATTTTTGATACTAGAATGACCAATCTTACAGGGGATAGCAAACATACCTGGATCTCCGCATTTGGGTGGGAGTTTCCTTTGAAGTACAGCTGATACATTCTCTCCTACCATCACTCTTTCATCACCCCTTAACTTTCTTTTGTTAACGCACAAGTCTTTCAAGAACTTTCCGTACTTGGGTACCTGCTTGATCGCGTCCAATAGGGGGATGTTTACTTGAACTTTGCGGAACACATCCAGGATTTCTTTCTCCTTCTCTGCCTTCTTCGTCTTTGCCAACCTGCAAGGAAAAGGGGGTAAATTAGCTTTAACGGGTATTGATGGTGTGAGAATTACCTCAGGACCTCCACGAATGTGTCCTTCTTCCTCTATCTCCTGCTCGATCTCGTCTTCACTTTTACTCTTTGAGTTCGTGACCTTCGGCCCCTCCACTTCCTTGCCACTCCTTAATGTCATGGCACTTACATTTCTGGGGTTTATCTCAGGTTGCGATGGCAATTTTCCATAGACGTGGGACTCCAGACGATTAATGGCAGTTGCCATTTGACTCATGCGAGTCTCCATGTCCTTCATGCCTGCTTTGGTGTCATGTTGGAGCTGAGTAGTACTTGCAACTAAGGACCTAGTCTCCTGCTGGAGCTGAGTGGTGGTCGTGACGAGTTGAGTGGTAGTCGTGGCCAAACTCTTGACAATTTCTTCCAAAGAACTCCCTGAGCTTGAGGACGAGGGTTGAGACTTATGTTGCCAAGGTTGCTGAAAACCTGGTGGACGATTGGGGAATGCATTTTGTGGCCTATTACCATAGCTGAAATTGGAGTGATCTCTCTAACCAGGGTTATACGTGTTGGAGTATGGGTCGTACGGTTTTTGAGGCGCGGGCACGCCTCCAGCCATGTTCACTTGTTCAGCCCCATTCTCTTGCAACATAGGGCATGAGTCAGTGGGGTGGCCCACATTTGTGCAGATTCCACAGGCCTTTGCTTGATGCATGTTTCCCACGGCTAATTGTCGTACAAAAGATGTCAGTTCCGATATCTGCTGTTGAATGGACGACGTCTCTACCTCGTTGATCCTACGGGTAGGGTTACTCTCACGGAAGCCAAACTGTTGAGAATTTTCTGCCATCGACTCAATGAGTAG